GATTATGACTTTATTTAAAATAAAGATCTTTGCAGATATAATTACGTTTATGATCTCAAGATGTGATCATTCTGTATTATGCAGGTGACAAGTATCCTTGTAAGAGACAGAAAAGAAGAAGACAGAGAGGAGGAGAAGGCTAGTATGAAAACAGAGGCAGAGCTTTGAATGATGTGGCTACAAGCCTAGGATTCCTAGAAGCTGAAAGAGCCCGGAAGAACTGTCCCCTAGAGATTTCAGAGGGAGTGCAGCCTGGCCAACACCTTGATTTAAACCTCTGGCTTCCAGAACAGTGTGAGAAAGAATCTGCTGTTTTCCGTCACCAAATTTATGGTCACTTGTTATGGCAGGCAAATGAAACTAATATACCATCTAGAGAGATCAAAGTAGGGGACAATGTACCTTCTTGCTTCAGCTCACACACTATAAACAAGTGTCCCTTTCGGGCATAACTAGTGCCACACTGTTTTGTGCTGTTTGTGGGTGATTTTGCAGTTTAAAATGGTCCTGAAGAGTAGTGCTAAAGTGCTGTCTAGTGTTCCTAAGTGCAGGAAGATTGTGATGTGCCTTATAGAGAAAACAAGTGTGTTAGATAAGCTTCATTTAAATACATTAGTATACAATAGCAGTATACAAATATACAAATATACTGCTATTGGCTATGAATACAATGTTAATGAATCAACAATTCGGTACATCCATAAAAGGAGAAAATCTGGTGATATGCACATAAGGTCACTCTGGAAAGTGCTAAAGCAATATCTATAAGTGTGTGATGAAGCTAAGGCAAAGATGGAAAAGTGGCTAAATTTAAGGATTCATGAGATGACGACTAATTTTTTTTTAAAAAAAGCACAGCGTTGTTTTAAGGCTCAATACCAAAGAAACTTACATAGGTTAACCATGATCAAGAAAACATTAAACCATTCTCAGCTTGTGCTAGTTGGCTCACATATCAATTGTATGAAAAATGTTAAATATGCAGGTGAGGCAGGCTCTGCAGATTAAGAAGCCGTGAAATATGCGAAGTGTAATGCAGAAAAAGGGTCACATGGAAGAGCTGCTTTCCAACCCCAATGAGACTGGCTTATTTCATAAGGATCCTGGTAAATGAATGTATACAATGCAGATGACATTTTGATTGATGAAAATGTGACTTAGAGGCTCACAGAAATCCAACTCTGCATTTCCTCTAGGAAGAACAACTCAGTATTCATTAATTCAGCACTTGCAGCAACTTTATAGAGCCCAACTACCATAAATAATGAAAATCGACCATCATTCCTTAGCATCTGTGGAAGGGTATTCCTAGGATCTCCAAAGATGCTCAAGTTCCTAATGTAAAATAGCCTAGTATTTGTATATAACCTATATACATTCTCTATACTTTAAATAATCACTAGATTACGTATAATACCTAATACAATGTCAATGCTAAGTAATTAGTTGTTACACTGCATTGTTTTTAAAATTTGTATAATTTTTGTTTTATTGTTATGTCTTCTGAATATTTTTGATTTGCAGTGGGTTGAATCCACAGATGTAAAACCTGTAGATAGGAAGGGCCGACTGTATTACCAAAACCAAATCCATTAGAAGGGTACAGGGTCTGACAGTAACAAATGGGAAAATGATTACTTTTAAGTCTAAGGGATTGGTAGCCCTCAGAATCTGTTTCTCTTCCATTGAATGTGTAGCTCAAGAAGTGAATGTCAGCACAGATTTGAAATCTCTAACTCTCAAAAATGTTGGAGGTATGGGAAAGGGCTAATCTCAAGATGTGTCACTGAGGAGAGCAACCTATAGCTAAGGGAAATATATGCCTTCCAGACAAGAATGCTATTGCCACTTTTTTTCATCATGGTCCTGGAGGTCATACTAGTGTAATTTTTTTAAAAAAGTATAAGGTTAAAAAGGAAGAAATATAGTCATTATTTAAAAATGGTATACATAAAAACCAAAAATATCTACATGTAAGTTATTAGAAAGTGGATACAAAATCAATATATAAAAATCAAAACAAGAAGGTAGAAACTAAATTTTTTAAAAGACACCAATAACAATTACATTTTAAAAATGCCTAGTAACAAATTTAACAAAAATGTTCAAGACCTCTGCACACAAATATAAAATATTACAGAGAAAAATTAAACAAGACCCTAAAGAAATAGAAGGCTATACCATATTCACAGATTAGAAGACTCAAGTAAAAATGTTGATTCTCCCCACAAATTTAGAGATTCAATACAATCTCAATCAAAATCCCAATGCATTTTTTTAGGAGAGAGTAAGTAGAACTTGACAGTTGATTCCAAAATTTTAATGTAAATACAAAGACCCAGGAAGAGCCAAGATACTTATGAAGTATGCGAGGAAGGTGGTATCAAGAATTGAGCTAATCTGGAGAGAGCTGAGCTGTCAGGTCTTGTAATGGTCTATTGAAACAGGCCAATGTAATATTGTATAGAGGCTTGCAATCAAGGTTTTAATCAGCAACAGCATTAGCAAGAGGCTCAATCGGAGAAAGTGCTGGCTCCTACAGTGTTCCATTCTTACCCAGGGAACAGAGCTAGGCAAGGGTCAGATGAATCAGCACATATATGGGAATTATCTCACTTCCAAGAAAACCCTAAAAAAGACTCCAACTATTTTATGGATCTGGAGGCTGAGAGGAAGAAGAGAAGAAAATCCTAGGAGTGGAAAATAACTAAACATTGAGAGTAGAGACATATCATCAAGGTTCTGGATTCCAATAAAGGGGGGTCTCAAAATTGTTTGTGGGACACCTCCAATAAGGAGGTACATGGGCTAGAAATGCAAATATGCCTAAGATCATGGCTGGCTGGAGGGGTCTGAGTCCTTGACTGCAACTCCCTTCAGAGACTGCAATGCACAGGCTGTGCCCCAAGGTCTGACATGGAGAGGGTTGCTTTCCACCATGAGGGTTAAGACCTTCGTAATTGACTATGGTTAAAAAGACAAACAAACAAAAATTCAGCCTAGGCCCTGACTCCTCTGGTCAGATGATTTGCTCCACTGGATACCAAAACAATGTAAAGCTACAATAATTAGGAAAATCTGGTATTAATACAAGGTTAACCAAATAAAACAATGGAACACAATAGAGAAACCAGAAACAGGGCTATGTATTTCTGGAAAATTAATTGATGACAAATTGGTACTGTATAACAATGGGAAGTGATAGTTTTTCCTATAATGAAGTAGGATCAAAAGAATATCCATAAAAGAAAAGAATGAAATTTGACTCTACCTCACTCATGCACAAAAATTTACTTCAAATGGATTACAGATATGAGAAAGGAAATTAGAAAACTTTTTAATATTGTAGAGATTATCTTCATGACCTCAAGACAGAAAGGATTCTTCAAAAGACACAAAGCAAGATACACAAAAAGAAAAAGACTGATATTTTAAAATTAAAAACTGATCTTAATCAAAAGATACCATTTATAGAATTAAAAAGCAAGCCATAAAATCTGAGGTGCTATCAGCATCCTCTTTAAAAAGGGCTTTTATCCAGAGTATGTAAATAATTCCTATAACATGTGTAAGGACTGAATAGGAGTTTCCAAAAGAATACCCAATGACCAATAAGCAAGGAGTAAGCTAGCTTACTTTTGGTCCAAGAGATGTTACCTCATCTCTCAAAGTTACCAGCTACATAAACAGCACTAAAATTTGCCTCAGTAAAAGTGCTGCCGTGCCCTTGCAGTGTTGGCACATTCAGCAAGACATATAGGATTGCAAAGGGGTCCAAGTAGGACTGTCTCTCCCAATGATGGTACATTGAGTTACAATGTAAAATGCTTGACTCACTGCACACAGTATTTGAAAACTCTGGCCTAGAGAATATGTTTAACTTTCTTTGCTTGAAATAATTTTGTGTAGTGGCTCATGCTTGTAATTACAGCACTTTGGGAGGCTGAGGCAAGAGAATTACTTGAGGCCAGGAAATCAAGACCAGCCTGGATAACACAGTGAGACTCTCATCTCTACAAAAAACAAACAAAAAAATCAACCGAGTCTGATGGCACATGCCTATAGTCCAAGTTATTTGGGAAGCTGAGGCAGGAGGATCCCTTGAGCCCAGGAGTTCAAGGTTACAGTGAGCTATGATCACACTACTTGTCTGGTCATGATATACTACTTTCATATATACAGTCTATGATCAGTCCTTGAAAACGTCCTTCTTTTCCACCAGATGTACTGTGCTTTTTCACATGCTATTCCCACTGCACCTTTCTCTATTTTTTTTTCCATGTAGTTCAAAAACTCGATTTTTCCTCCAAGCTTTCATCCTCCTCCAAAACCTCTCCAACTGCCTAATGAGTCATAATTACTCCTTCTTCGGTACAAAGTACTCTTTAAATCCAGTGGCTTTATCATTAGCATTTATAGGTTTCTATCTACTCTTTTCTCCCTGTCTCCAAATAGATTGTAAGCCCCCTGAGAGTAGGGTGCTTTTTTCTTTTTTTGTATTCCTAGCACCTAGCACAAGGCCCAACCTAAAACAAATAATCATTAATACCTTAATTTAAGCTCAATAGAAATAACTACGTTACACGTATCCTGATCTCTTTCTCTCTTTCTTTTTAGTTGGAGTCTCACTCTGTCACCCAGGCTAGAGTGCAGTGGCACCCTCACAGCCACTGTAGTCATGATCTGCTGGGCTCAGGTGATCCTTCTGCCTCAACCTTCCAAGTATCTGGAACTACAGGAATGTGCCACCATGCCTGCTAATTTTTTGATTTATTGTAGAAATGAGGTCTCACCAAGTTGCTCAGGCTGGTCTTGAACCTGTGAGCTCAGGTCCTCTCACCTTGGCCTCCGAAAGTGCTGGGATTATAGGCATGAGTCACCATGCTCGGCATCCTTGATCTCTTAACACTTAAATTCCTCAATAAAACAAACTTCTCTTTCAAGAACGTACGCTGCTTCAAAGTCTTCAGAATACTTACCACTCACAGCTTAGTACTTACAGTTGTGCTGGTTTGGGGTAAAACATATCATCATTTCAATGCTGATCCCAGAAGAATGTTCTCTACTCAGATGATTCTACTTATAAACCTTCATCTAGGAACAAATCAAGATAATTGGGGTCAGAAAGGTAAACATTAAAAAACATTGATGATAACAGCATAGAAGTGGGTGACAGGGCAGCTAAGGAGAAACCACAGCCTCCTTCAATTGCCTAAGACACAAAGAAGCAGGGCAAGGGAATTCACACTTGAACCCAGTACAGCATAGAGAACTTTCTGGTTTGTCACTGAGGCACTTTACTTCTGCCTATAAATTCAGTGTGTTCTTTACTTTCTCTAACATGCCCCATTCCCTGTGTAAGGTTGTATCTCCTCAACTTGAGTTCCAAAACGATGACCTTCTCTGCCTTTATCTCCATATTCAGGCCTGATGTTACTTGGGCAGGGTAGTAGGCATTACATCTCAATACCAGAGGCTTTTACACATACATCTATGATCTCAGTGTCTACTGGCTATGAGTTGACTCAAAGCTTTATGGAGTCCTATGTGTCTTATAGCTGATCTACTTGAAGTGGTGACAGGAGAATTCAGGGAAACTGTGCATTCCTTATCAAAATGGAGCCTTACTCTGAGAAGTGAACACAATTTAACCTTCTCAGAGAAACTCCTTGGGAAGTTTTATGTTTTCCTACATTTTAAAAATGTGTACTACCAAAGCGATCTGCGATTTCTATCAGTTTGGAGTTCATCTTGAACCTCATATGATTTAAATTTCAGGGATCAAAAATCTCAGGTCTGTTACTCAGAGTTGAGAAATCATTGTTAAAACAGAAAAATAACAACAAAAGATTTAATTTAAAAATTTCTCTTCTGAGTTTCACATGTGCATATATAGGGTTTGGGGATTTGGGCTAGGAAATCAGGTTAACAGTCTGTTGGACAGCCCTATTGGGATGCCTCAAGATATAGCAAAAATATTTTCCAAATTGAATTCATTAACTTTCTACCACCTCTCAAATCTGAGCTCTTCTGGATATTAGAAATCAAGTTTCACAGTCACTCAAATAAATCCTTAAAAGTCACCCTAAAACCAATGCCAAACTCAACAACAGTTCTCCAAGTTTGTCCCATTTTCATATCTCTTAGCCTCTGCATATGCCACACACGTTGAGAAACAATAAATGCAATGGTCAGAAATACTTGAAACTCCTTGGGAGGGTTTTTGTTTTTGTTTGTCTTGGTTCACAAACCTCAGTCAAATTCAGGGGCTTACTGGGACAGTAAGTTGAAGGGCCCGAGGCCTTGTTGACTAAGCAAGAACAAACTTAAAGAATTATCTTAGTTGGGCTCGGTGGCTCAGCCTGTAATCCCAAGCCTTGGGAGGCCGAGATGAGTAAACTGCCTGAGCCTGCGGGTTTGGACCTGCCTAGGCAACTTGGCGAGACCTCATCTCTACAATAAATCAAAAATTAGCCGGGCGTGGTAGCAGCGCCTGTAGTTCCGGCTACTTGGAAGGCTGAGGCGAAAGGATAGCTGGAGCCCAGCAGGTCGAGGCTGCAGTGGCCAGGAGCATGCCACTGCACTCCAGTCTGGGCGATGGAGTGAGACTCCAACTCAAAAAAAAAAAAAAGAATTATCTTTTGGGATTCCTACCTAAAGAGACACTCTACCTTCCGTCAAGAGGTCACAACACATCTAATCATCCCTGATAGCACAGCAGTATATCACATGCAAAGAAATGAAGATCAATAGATTGGTGTTTCCAGATTCAATAAGGATATATCGCCCTTCTCTCACCAACCAACATTGTTTCCAATTTCAAAATTAACTGTTTTCAGCTATAATACTGGTAGCAACAAAACAACAAAAGGCCTGCATATAAGATAAATAATGTTTGAATTATTAAAATTTGCTCTTACTAAGCCAATACAAACTACATTAGTATATGATTTTAAAATGCCTTTACCTTATGAGTTGTTAAACTGTATTCTTGGAAGTAGTTGTAATCTTAGAGTCTTAGCCATTATGCTCAGAGTCACTTTTCAGTGACTGTTCACTTCTTTAATATTCCATGGGATGAAGTGTTTATTAAGGCATTAACATTTACCATCTCTTCTTTTGAAGGTATCTTCTGATCAACAAAAGGATTTTCGAATATATTCACCACCTAAATTATTGATGATACTTTCCTTTGTCATGTATTTTCTGGTGTTTAGTAAGATTAGAGCTTCCACGGAAAGCTTTCCCACACTCTTCACACTCATAGGGTTTCTCTCCAGTATGGATTCTCTGGTGATGAATAAGGGTCGAGATCTGGCTGAATGCTTTTCTACACTCTCCACACTCATAGGGCTTTTCTCCAGAGTGAATCCTCTGGTGATTAATAAGGGCTGAATTCACATAGAAGGCCTTTCCACACTCCTTACACTCATATGGCTTTTCTCCTGTGTGGATTCTCTGATGTTTGATGAGGGCTGAGCTCACACTGAAAGCTTTCCCACACTCATCACACTCATAAGGCTTCTCACCAGTATGGATTCTCTGATGTTTGATAAGGTCTGAGCTCACACTAAATGCTTTGCCACACTCATTACATTCATAAGGTTTCTCTCCATTGTGGATTCTCTGATGTATAATCAGGTGTGCCCTTACACTGAAGGCCTTCTTACACTCAATACAAATATAGGGCTTCTCGCCAGTGTGAATTCTTTCATGTACAGTGAGGGTTGAGCGAACGCTGAATGCTTTTCCACAGTGATCACACTCATAGGGTTTCTCTCCGGTGTGGATTCTTCGATGTCGTACAAGACCTGAGCTCTGGGCAAACTTCTTTCCACATTCACTGCATTTATACCGTTTTTCTTCTGTGGGCCTACACTCATGACTTTCTAACTGTTCTTCATACTGAGAGACATTTTCAAACTCAGGAATCTGTAAAGTATCCCCATTATACATGCTAGGGACCTTTTGGTGTGGATCCATCCTTACAAAAATCTTCCTTTCAGAGTTGACACCTTGTTCACATCTCTGGCCTTGATTCCTAAGATAATAAACAGACCTTTCAAATTAACTATATTCTCTGTTGCTAAAACAATATAATGTGATATAGACTAAGGCTCTCAAAGTTGTTTGGTAATCCCAAGATACATCAATTGTACAGCAGCCAGATCAACTGTTTTCATTCAGCCTGTACCATGACTCAGTAATATCAAAGAACACCTGAACTCAAATGGCTATTTAAATCTATCCTCTATAAAGGTATCTAAAACCCAGGATCTGGGATATAAGTGAAATGAACACCTTTATAGAGATTCCTCTATAAAGGTATCTAAAACACAGGATCTGGGATATAAGTGAATATAAAAATAATATATAGTCCCTACTTTAAAAGTCCTTTTATCATATTTAATTACAATGAAAAATAAGCCAGAAATTGAAGAGATTTGCTGATAGAGCAGACAAAGGAGTATGGGAATAGAAAAGGCAAAAAAAAAAAAAAAATCCAGAAATTTAACAGATAAGAAGTTTGGAAAAATGACAATATCATCATTATCACATATGTTTTACCACCCACAGGAGATACAATACTTGAGCTGGAAGGGAAACATAGGGACAGAAAAGCTTGCTTGTTACCATGCCAGTACTATTGCTGCAGCTGTTGAGAAACAGTATTTCAGCAATAGGGATGTTCTGTCTCCTCTAGAACTGTGACAGAGTAAACCCTTCACCCTTCCAAAGAAAAGGATCCCACCAGGCAATTCCATCTTTATAGTTCAATGTAGAGAGTTTGGGGAATTGCTACTACTCTCTTATCCTCTAGGAAGAAGCCCAGTTTTGTCTTTAAACTTGATAAGACTTTTGACCCAAACTCAAATTACACTAATTACCATGCTCTCTCTCTGCTTTTTTGCATTTTACAAACTGTATTATGTTTCAACAGTGATAAGTCAAGCTGACAATATGTTCCCTTGAGATGAGAGAATGGCACTTCACCATTGTGGTCTTCTTCCCCAAAACTTGTAATCTCAATATAATAATGACAAAAACAGTCATCCCAACTAAGTGACATGCTACAAAAAAATCAACACAAAGGAGAGCTGAGGATCCAAGACCAAGAGAAAATGTCTCCATTTCCCCATGTTGCCTTCCAATATTCAGTCCTGTCAGAAAAGTGAGCTGCAGTCATTTCTGTAATTAGGAGTCTTCTGAGCCTTAGAGAATGCCAAGGACTGGACCCAAGACACCAGCCCATGAAGCTCTTGGCCACAGAGCACCTCCTGCTCTAGTCATGCTCTCTCCCAGGATCTTTGGGGGTCACTTCCACCAGTTCAGAGGGATGGGTTGAGGAGAGAGAAGGGAAAGAAGATGGGGGAGAGAGGAAAAGGGAGGAAAGAGAAGAGGGGAGGAATGTGAGAAAGGGAGTAAAAGGGGGGAGGGGTGGAGCAGGTTTGAGGCGACCTGGTATATAGTTTCTCCCTTCCTCCCTTTCCTCTGTGACTGTTAACCCAATAGCCCCCACAAAAACCCTAGGAGAAAGTCAAGAGAGAGTTTACCTGGAAAACTGCGATTAGACTAATTGACCAAGCAACTGAGGATGCTGTTGGCCTAGAAAGGTAGACTTCTGCAGAATCGTGAGCCAGGTCACCTGGTCATTGTTCTAGGATGCTGGAGGCTTCCATCTTAGTGGTTTGTGAGCTGACAAGAATAGAGGGTGTGAAGAAAGAATTCTATTTACTCTGAAGATGGCATTTTATGCTTTTTATCTCCTTTAACCCTGCTGGGCAGACATTAAAGTCTTCTTCTCATATATAAGAAAACTGAGAAGCAAATAAAATTTCCTAGGCCTGACAACTGATAAAACAGATGAGATAAAATTTGAATCTAGGGCTTGCCTCCCATGTTGAGTCACTTACCTTTTATGGCCCTCAGGGCTTAGCATTCAGAGACTAATCCCAAAATTAATTTGTAAATTTAACACCTCAATTCCAACAAAGAACACCAACTTTTTAGATTTTGTTTTTTCCTAAAGAGATCAGGTCTACCTCTGTTTCCCAGGCTAAAGTACAGTGGTACAATCATAGTTCACTAACAACCTCAAAATCCTGGGCTCACGCCATCCTCCTGCCTCAGTCTCCCAAAGTACTGGGATTACATAGGCATAAGCCAACACGCCCAGCCTCTTTTAAGAATATTTTAATGTTCACATAGAAGAATAAACAAGCACGATTACCTGGGAAAAGTGAAAAATGCACTTATGACAAAGGACTTTCAACATATTATAAAACCTTAATACTTAAACTGTGGTATACTGATAAGCTAAACAAGTGACACAGAATAAAAAGATTCATTCACTGGGAAAAAATATTTGTCAACTGTATATCTGACAAAGGCCTAACACCTAGGACCCACAAGGAACTCAAATGTGCCTAAAGGAAAAAAAAAACAACCAGCCCCATTAAAAAGTGGGCAAAAGACATGAATAGACACTTCTCAAAAGAAGATATATGGGCAGCCAACAGACACATGAAAAAGTGTTCAGCCTCACTCATCATCAGAGAAATGCAAATCAAAACCACATTGAGATACCACAGTAAGAATGGCCATCATTAATAAAACAAACAACAACAGATGCTAGTGAGGATGCAAAGAAAAAGGAACACTTCTACACTGCTGGTAGGAATACAAACATGTGCAACCTCTTTGGAAGACAGTGTGGCAATTTCAGAAAGAAGTAGAAACTGACCTTCCATATAACCCAGCAATTCCCCTATTGGGAATATGCCTAGAGGAAGTCAACTCGTTCTACAAAAAAGATACCTGCACGTGTATGTTTGTTGCAGCTCCAATTCACAATAGCAAAAACATGGAACCAACCATGCTGCCCATCGAAACTAGACTGGATAAAAAATGTGGTATATATACACAATGGAATATTATGCAGCCACAAAGAAGGACAAACATATGGACTTTGTAGCAACTTAGATGAATTTAGAGTCGATCATACTCAGTGATCTATCACAGAAACAAAGAACAGAATACCATATGTTCTCACTCATAAGCAGACCTTGAACAATTATTATACTGTAAGAAAGGGATTGGCAGTAGTGGGAAACTGTCAGGGGAGGGGGGTGTGATTGGCAGCTGAGGGAAACTGCTGGGGGGGGGCACACCTCATCAACAAGGGTACCTACATAATCAAGGCTTGTATACCTAACCCTGAATTGTACCCCACATCTTATTAAAACAAACAAAAAAGATGATCAACATTGAATAAATAAATAATGTAAAAGTAAGTTTATAAAAGACAAACAAAATACATTTTGTTTAAGGTTTGAAAACATTTCTAAGGCTATTAAATAATTATGGCTTATGGTTTCACAAATCAAACTCGCCTTATTTCTACATCAAGTTTTTAGTGACATAAAAATTAAAATTTGGCTATGTTAAAAAAAAAGATACATTCAGTGACAGAAACTTAGCATATAATAAAGGAAGTTAAAAAAAAAGATGAGTAGACTCTTCAATAAATGTATGGGGAGAACTGGATAATTATCCAGAAAGACATTAATTGCAGGGATTCTTTCTCACTTTATACATATTCCAAATAAATCAAAGTTTTAAATGTTATAAATGAAACCATAAAAGGGCCAGAAGAATATGTCCTTTATAACCTCAGAGAAGAAAGGCTTTTCGCATTATGAGCCAAAATCCAGAGGTCATAAATGAAAAGATTGATAAAACTGACCCACACAGAGACAATCAAAACTACTGTGAGGTAAAACAAACAAACAAAAGCACCTTAAACAAAGTCAAAGACAAAAAATGGAAACATATTTACAACTTATATCTCAGACAACTGGCAGCAAAGATGAAGTTCCTAAACAATAAAAACTATGGAAATGGCAGAGCTGAACTGGATTCCCTTCTGCTCCAGCTTCACTCTGATCTGAAACAGACTCTGCTAGGCATTCACAACTCATTAACTAGCAGTTTTGTTTGTTTTTTTCTTAAGTTTCCTCAGGTTCCTTACTTTCAGAACCACTAGATCACAGAATGTCAAAGTTTAACACGATTCTTCCGTAGGAGGAAGAATCTCATCACTGACATTTCAGTGGCATATTCGTTGGAGGGCAATGGAGAGACAGTCTCCCTCTGCTCTCGGAGCTGGCATTTCTTGCCAGGCTACTTCCTGTGTATAAAAACTGGAACCTGGAAAATATTACACACATACATTTATGAAGTAATCACTGTAGAAACAAATAAATCAGAAGAGCAGGCCAATGCCAGGAAGGTAAGAAGAAGAACTAGCTGCAAGAAATACCTGGAAAGCACTTCTATGTACCAGGTACTGTTCATGTAATCCTCATAACAACTCTAGGCAGATGCTTTTATCATCTCTATTTACAGATGAGGAAATAGAGGCACAGAAAGACTAAATGACTTGGGCAAAATCACAGGTAGTCTGGCTTCCAACTTACTTGTTTAACAAGAAGGGAGAAAATGAGAAGAATCCCTAAGAGAGTAAAAGTTTTAAGATGACTCGATAAATACCTTTCCCTTCCCACATGCTATCTGGTTTCACCAAGTTCCTTGAAGTCATCCAGCTTAGCCACTTCCCCGAAAACAAGCCTCCCTCCCCCGACCAGTGCTGCTCCCAATTCCAGACCTGGTGCTCCTCAGGCTCAAACAGTCAGGGACTGGGCTCAGTCATTGTCAACCGGACTGCTGGAGCAAGCTTCGCGTGTGTTGGTCTGCAGAGGTTTCTTATTAACAGAAACCTTGGGATCAGTGAAACTAGCTTCTCTACAGAGTTATGTAGTTTTTCTGTAACCGGAGAGTCCACAATTCAGGACGATTTCTTTTGAGTGCTTTTTTTTCAGGAACGATTCTGTAAGAGAAACATTTTACTCAGAGAAAAAGCAAAGACTGTCATAGCTGTTTCAGGGTTATCGGGGAAAAGGCACAATGTTAAATAAGGGGCTTATTTGCAAAGGGTTCTCAGATCAAATGCTAGGGTAGCAGATCAGCCTGTTAATGCCTCTTACGTGACTGCTAAAGAGAAGGGCAATCATTTGTTGCCAAGCTGAAATAGAAGTCTAATCTGCATTCAAAAGGAAACGTCACCGACACAGTAAGTGCAGGTGGCAGAGAAAGTCTCTAATAAACTTAGAGTGCCTAATACTTATTACCAATTATTTGCAGTACCCCCCTCCTTATATTTGAAAAAGTGAGCTGACAATATGGTGGGCAGTGATACCGACTGTACCAGAAGCGCACTTGTAACTGTAACTCGATGCTCTGAAGCAGACCAGGGTTGTAACTGTGAGAGGGAAGCAGTCGCAACTCTGGGCCCCTGCAAAACTGAATCGCGAGAAAAACCCTCTTCTAGGAGATGCATTTGAACGTAATCCCCACAGGCTCGGGGCGGGGGTTGCCTTTCCCGCGGCTCCTGCCCACGTTCCACCCCCACACACCAGGAGATAGGAGGTTTGAGGGGCTGCAGGTATGCAAAGCCCACCGCGCTGGTACCCAAATGCATACCAGTGTTTCCCTGCGGGTGATCAGCAGCTCCGAGGCTCCGCCGCGGGGCGGAAGTTCCTCTTAGCACTTCCGGGGGAGGGAGCCCGGAAATATTTGGGCGGGGCTTGGCCCTGCTGTGGGGCAGACAGGGACCCGCCCACGAGCTCCTCAGTTTGGCCCCATCGGCCAGGCTCTGATTTGCTACCTCACCTCTCACATGGGTTGTTTTTGCTCCTAGAGTTTTACCCAGAGCAGGACCACGTGAATGTTGAATTTGAAGATACTGTAGCATCTCTAGTGGGAGCCCTACAGGATCCCTTAAAGCGACACACGGGCCACAGGTCTTCCTTAGTGATATAAACGCAGCTCAATATATTCTGTGTGCTTTGTCGAAGACTAGGGATGAGACCTAAAAGCAGCACTTTCAAAACAGGACTGTAATACTGCAAAATTTCTCGGGGTGTTCTGGTATTTAGAGAAAAATTTAACTGAAGACGTCACAGTAAGTAAGTATACTGGTTTACACATAAAGCTAATATAATGAAACATTACAGGTGGAGGCAGGACGTCTCAATCCATCCTATGGCAGAGCATGAATTAAGAATAAAGAGGAGCCGGGCTCGGTGGCTCAGTCTGTAATCCTGCGCCTTTAGGAGGCTGAGGTGAGTGGATTGCCTGAGCCCGCGGGTTCGAGACCCGCCTGGGCAGCAAGACCTCATCTCTACAATAAATCAAAAAATCAGCCGGGCGTGGTAGCGCATGCCTGTAATTCCCTGCTGCTTGGAAGGCTGAGGCG